ATTACTTATGCCCCAATGCACAACCTTTATTGCTGTTGCCACTGCTGAGTTACTTCAGTTCTGTCTGGCAGAAATCATTGTTCCTACATTTGTCCCCTTAATGTTGTAAGGAAGCATTATAGAAATGAGAACACAAACTATATTACCATATAAAAAAGACTTCAGTTGGCATTTATACAATGTTCTTCATCTTTCCTTGTTAAATATAAAGCAACTCTTGCCACATCAAAGAATAATTCTTCCTTAAATGTATCTGATGAAGGTCCTCGGAACTCTGCTACTTGCAGCCGTGCAGATCGGGTCACCAAGAAGTCGTCTCATAAAAAAAAGAAGCCAGCACGAAGGCAAGGCCCCTGAAAGAAGGAATTCCACTTACGATATTCCTACGCAGAAATTTACCTAAACTTTATCCACTGCCTGTTCTTTGAAAAATTCTTAATGCCTATTTGTATTAGCCTGCTTTCTATCTATGCTTGTCATTTGGGATCTCTTCCCTGTTTAGGTCCTCATGATCAGCTCTATATTTTTTTTCAGATTTTGTCTGGAAAAACATTCTTCTTTTTCTCCTTTGTCTGCTGTAGTTCTGTATTTTGAAGTTGTTGAAACATATGCTAAACTCCCTCTTAAATCAGTATGGTTTAATTTTCAGGTCTGATGTCTAAATAGCATGTCTTCAGCTCAGTCCGTAGATAGACGAAATGAGCTACTGTAATAGTGAAAACAACAGAAAAGTTTCAAAGAGCCATTCAGGAGAGAATCCTGAGAATTTTTTTCCATCAAAAATTATTTTCATGTAATACTAGTTTTAGCGTTACATTTTTTCCAAATTTTTCTTATGTTTCATATCCATCATATCACTGACTAGCTCGAATAATCAGCCAGAGAAGGAAAATACTTGTGGATAGTTTCAAATTTACTGTTTTGCCTCCCTAGGGTAAAGAAATGCACTGAACCAGGTCTCAGCAATGAGAGATTCAAGATATTTGGAGAGAAGCCTCCAGAATCCGAGTAAGTCATGTGTATTTGCAGAGATAGAAGTTAATCTACAAAAAAACATCTATCCATCTATCCATAATTGTGAACTATGGAGTTCACCATTTAATTTTGAGGTGTTTAACCTTGATATTTACGGGTCAAAGTGCTTACAGAACAGTTCCTTTTTGCAGCATAATAAAAGTGAATGTGAGTCATCCATTTTATTGTGTTTAATATCTGAAGTGGGTGGCCTCATTGGAGCCCATTTTGTACATTTACAAAAAATGGGCTGGAAAATGTAAAATAACCTGTCTTTCAGTTATTTTCACCTCTAAGATGATCAATAAATTCTGTGCTCTACATTCTTGTGCTCAGTATTATGTTTATGTGAATAAACAAGGAACAAATTGTTTAGGAGGTGATTTTTAAATAATTCCATTCTCCTTTTCCAAGAAAATTTTTTCTTGACATGTGTAGTTATATTATACAAAATTGAGATATTTCATTTGTGCCATGCAAAACTATGAAAATTAATGCCTAAGGTGTTGAAGTACTTGGGATTTTTGTTCCACATTATGTTTCAAAATAATTCCAATAAACAGCTAGAAGCACCTTCAAATATTTTTGGTTTATCTAAAATGCATGCTAAGCTCTTAAGGTAAGTTTTGAGCACAGGAAGTTGGCTAAGATTGCTTTTTTATTTGCAGTGACATGGAGGTGTTCTCCAGTAAGCATTTACAATTCCTCAGAGTCCTTGCTTCTTCTGAAGAGAATCAATACTAATGGGGGTGAAGGTTCTTCTATTTGTTTATGTATGCTCTGAAAAATGTGTTAAAATAAACCTGAACAAAGTATTTGAAAAATGGTAAATATTGCCAATGTGATCAGTTTACAGTATGATTGTCTTTTTAATTTTTTTTTTTTTTTAATTTTCTTTGTTTTCAGTACTTTTAAGGGGGTTATTAAGAATATCCTCTGGACGGGTAATAACAGCTTGCTCTGTCTTGCTGAGGTAAGAAAATCCAGTATTCTTCAGTCACTTCTGCTTTCATCGGTCTCCTCCTGTGCCAGCTAAATAATTTGGTTCTTCACAGTGTTTGGATGGCCATCCAAAAATTTTCCTTTCTTCACCAATGCATCTAATTTTTAAATAGTATTTGACACAGTTCATTTTTAATCACAGGTTTCTTTATAAATGTTAACTAAGCATTTCAGAATCAGAGAAAGAAAAATGGTCACAGAGAAGAAAGTGGTTGACAGCTTTATGTATCCCTGCTACCAGATGTGACTTGTTTGAATGTGTTATCAACAACTCTTCTGTTTTATCTCTATCTCCTGAAGGAGTTCTACGCAAAAGAGAAGCCTCAAACCAGAGCGCCTGAAGATCTGCCAGAGACATTTGAAAGTTGTGCAGAAACGCTCAAACAGGCTCTGTTGTCATACCAAAGTCAGACAGATTGTTACTACGATTCCTGTCTTATAGGTAAATTCATTCAGTTAAGAATTTTAGTTTCTTGTGTATGTAATTCTTCAGTTATGTAAACTGAAAATCGAGAATTATGTAGTTTTCTTAATCCATCACACTCAGTGGAAAAACTCCAGTTGATTTTACTGGAAATTGGGCCAATACTCTCTTTTTATATATTTTCAGCTACCAAAAGCATGGCAGAATGGCAGAAGTTGAAAGACCTGTACAAGGTCACATCTTTTAGCAAGTGTATGTTTCTCAAAGCATTAAACCTAGGAAAAGGAATGGCAGGGGCAGAATCTCTCTGAGAGAGAATTCCACGTTGTTTGACCCTTGCAGTGTACATTCATCTTGTCCGAGTGGTTTTTTTTCCTTGCAATGAATACTTCCATGTCACACAAACACCCTGTCTTTTCCAAAAAGAATTTCAGGATCAACTGAAGTTGTTTGAGAAAGAGCTCCCTCATGTCTCCCGGTTGGCAGTTGATAGTCTTCTAAAAGAACACGAGCAGAAACTCAGCTATTCCACTGCTCAGATTCAGCACCTCTTCAACAGACAGCTGGAGGACTGGGAGAATGTGAAGGTAGGTATCGTGGACATATTGGAATGCTTCCAGCATAAGCAATGCAAAATGCATCAGAATTATAAAATTTTCTTTTTATTAATCTCACTGTTTGCTTAATCACTCACTTCTGAGCTAGCCACAGATTTAGTTTCTGTGTTTGCAGTTAGTCTGTGTAGTTCTACTGGAAGCTTTGTATTTCTAGTAACTCAGTCCCTTCTCTCACTGCTTCCAGCACTGGGCTGCCTCTTTATAATCTTGTACAGCTATCTTAGATTGTAAACTCTGTAAGGGCTGTGACATCGTGGTATGGCTGTACAGCTCATACTGTGAGAGTGCACTTGTTTGTAGGTACTACAACATACAGATAATGAAATATAATTGTTTACTATCTTTCAAAAAAGAGGCGTATTTTGTCCGGTAATATCAGAACTGGTAACAATCATAATGGAGAACATGCAGGAAATGTTACATAGTAGCTGCTTGAGATTTTGTTCCTCTGAGTGGTAAGTTGAATTCAGGAAAAAATACAAATATAAAGATAAAAAAAAAATTTGTTTACCACTTGGTAGAAGAGATTATTACTTGCTGAAAACAAAAAGCAAGGTGAGATCAGAGGCCCTGTTCTCCAGCAGATAGGCAATTTGGGATATACTAGGTTTATCTCTAGACAGCCAAGGAATACACTTAATTGTCTTTCTGAATACTTTTATATCAAATGTGTGAGTTTTACTTCTTCCTTGTTATGACTCACTTGCATGTTCTTTACTGAAGGCATGACTTTCATATGTATTTACTTAAAGGCTGCGCACAAGAATCAGTTACATCCCTCTCTGGGACACCCAGAAAACTCACTTCACCTGGATGCTTTGTGCCAAGAGGAAATAAAAAGGCAAAAAGAGGAAGCTGATGGTATTCGTCTCAACGCACAGATGCTGCAGGTAATTGTAAAGCCATTGCTTGGTATGAACTTAGATGTTGCATTTGGAAAGGAGAGTGCCTCTTGGACAGATTTTTCCTCCCCATCAAAAGTAAACTGGAAAATGTTTTCAGTTTTAGGCAATCCTGTTCATACATCTTCTAACTTTTAAGTTACGTATTATCAGCATTAGATCAATATATACTTAAGTGCATACGCACATGTACACGTGCATAGATTTATTGTGGAACTAAGTGATCTTTTGTATCATTCATAGAACATACTGAGGAAGAGATGGCTTATCTCTTATTGGTAGAATTATTAGATAGAATTCTAAATTTGGTGTAATAGTGACATCCTCTGGTTAGTTATTTTACTTGCAGACGGCAGATGCCTGGAAGGGTTTCTTCTATGTGTATTTCATTAGTGCAAATAATTGATGTTTTTCTGTATAAGATTAAGAACTGGAATAAGCAGAATTTTATGGGAGAGATTCAGGAGTCAAAACACTTTTCCTGCTCCATCCTCTAGGGTTACTGAAGGTCAGTTCCCCAACATTAAAAAAAAAAAAACCATTGTTTCCTTCTCTCAGACTGCTTACTCAAAATTCTCAATTTGTTAATTCTGAAATAATATCTTCTTCTCCTCTTTTCTCTGCATAGACACGCAGAAACAAACCCTGTTTTAGAACAATACCCGGACAAAGCGCTTCCACCCAAAGTATCCGTATTCCAGAATGGCCTTTGCTTTAGGCAGAAGGATGCATTTAGAGATAGCAGTGTGTATCAGATTTAGATGCTTAAACCAAATATACAGCCACTGGGCAACTATACACAGAACTCTGTAGCTTTTTGTACTCTACCTTAGGCAATTGGGTAGTGTTGAGAATACTGCAGAGACACTTTTAGACCCTTAGACCGTCTTATGTGCAACTTAGAGCCTGATGTCTGTTATCTGCAGCTGCTGCAAAATGTCAAGGCTGAACACTTGGGTAGTTCTTTCGGAGCTAAACTAAAAGGAGAGGAGATCAAATTATCAAAGTAATTCCTCTCACTTGTCTCTGATGTCCCAACAGGACTGTGTTGCTGAGTGTGCTCGTAACTTTCTTTCTGCACTAGCTGCCTTCACTGAAAATCTGCTTCTGGAATTAGACGAAAGCGTCACTGTTGATGATATACAAGTAGCAAGTAAGTAGACAAGAGATTGCTTGTTCAGGCCTCCGCTTCCTTCTCAAAGATTGCAGCAGACTTTCCCTAGGAAGAGGAGACTTTCATATGCTGTAGTACTTTAAATGGAAAGATTTGCATGATCAAGCATACAAAGCTATTTCTTGAAAGTGAAGAGCATCTAGCTGCATATAGTTACTCCAAAGAAATGGTATTACTGCCATTGCTTTCTTGCTGCTGAGTCTCTCTTCTATTGTCTCCCAGAAAAAGAAATACCAAGAGAAAAGATGTCCACTTTAATGCATCATAAACAAGCTGGACTTCCTCTAGAAATCCGTGAAGTTAAACAGTTAATTGAGCGTGGGAGCAGGTAATAGCTGGAGATACTGAACACTGTTCTATGTAATTTCTCTTCTCTAAACTGGTATCAGACGTTGTCCTCATAGTTTTTTGCTGCCTTGTTGAAACTGCTGAGTACTATGATCATGATTAGTGATGTCCTTTAACTAGTTGTGGAGCAGTTTGGGTGGGTAATGATCTTAAAGAAAGAGTAGCAATGGGTCCAGATAAATAAAAGTGAATTAGGTATTGCGTTGTGAAGCAATACAATTTCAATATTGTTGCTATGACACTTTGACAGCCACTATTTATTAATTCAGCACTTTAAAATCTATGCGTATACGGTGTATTTTCACTCAGAAGATGTGAATTCTATTTACTGTGCAGAGGTCCTGAAGTTTTAAAAGAAAAGATGGTTATACTAAATCAGGTAGTTTTTAGGTAATACTTTCGTGGACATGAAAAAAAAAATTCAATCTTTTGCACTCTAAATACAAGTAACTTAAGTTAGTATAATCTGCTCTCTTTTCTAACTGTCTCCCTCATGTGGCTTGTTTGTTTTGTTTGTTTTTTTAAAGGACTTGGCCAGGAATACCTATGACTACTCTTGCAGACAATTCAGATTATATTATTTTCAGAGAAACCGCATCAGTTACAACAGCTAAGACTACGCTGGGGCACGTGGCAGCAGTAGAAGCAAGAGATGCTGTATATACGGTTGGTCTGTGGGAAAGGACTGGGAGTGGGGCTACTACTGTTCTGGATTTAGTTTTTGAAGAAGAAAACTATAGCTATGTACAAGTTTTTAATATACACACTGTTTTCAGATCTTAAAGCCGTATTAACCATGTGCAGAAATCCTCTCTCATGTCCGTTTCCTTGTGATGTTGCCAAAAGCAGACAGAGTTGGTTTCTCAGGGAGCCCTCTCATTCAGCTACATTACAATGGGGAATTGTTTCAGCAGAGAGGCATGGATGGTGTCAGAAACAGGACACTTCATGTGTTTCAGCAGCATCACAATTCAAAAAGTAGCTGCTGCCATACCACCATTTCAATACAGCTGGCTTTCACTCACCTTTCTTTCTAAGGCGTAAAGCTCTAGCCTTAGATCACAAAGGCTGATTTTTCCATAAAAGATGAAGGGTGGGAAGAGACTTGCATCCTATCTTACATCCTGAACCATCACAGATCATTGTTTCCATCAAAAATGATCACTCTTTCTTCACTAAGTCTGCTAGAAGAATGAACGCATTCCAAACAATTCTGAGACTGTGACTTGCACTGATGATAGTTTGTGAAACAGTAGTGTTCAGCAGTTAGGAGAATATTCTTGCGTTAAATCATTTGGAAATAAATTGTCAGTGTTTATGCATCTGTCCTGGAAGTAATCATACTCCCAGTGAACTGAATTAATTAAAAACAATTTTTTTTTTTAATAGGGAAATGTAAAATACACTGTTAACAATGGTAAATGACATAAAAACTACAAAATTGCATGAGTGTTTTATGTATCTGGTTACGGTACCTAAGCACCTGGTTACGGTGCAGTTTTGAAGTGAACATAGTTTGTCAGCAGGGTGTGATATAGTAAATGCACACCACAGAAATATTTTCATGAATATATGTTGCATTAAAAATAGAGTATTTTATATTTTAGAGCATGGACTCTTTAATAAAGGTGCCTTGAGTTTTTCATGGTAGTCTACAAGTTTCTGTTTAGGTGAAATACGTTTTCAGCAGCTTTGTAATTGTTCAGTTCATACTCGTGACTTTGGGTCTTGCCACAACTTCCTGAGTGCGTTCTGTGTTTGAGATGCATGCTTTCCTCTGTCTTCTCCAGAGCAGGCAGCTCTTTCATCTTAGGAGCTAATGGAAGTGTGGTAAAGATCATGTATTTTTAGCAAAATTTAAATATTGCTAATAATTTAATTTTGGAAGTCTTTAAAAGGAACACAAGGCAGGCAGTGAAAAATTCATTTTTCATATAGTTCTGTTGTCAAAGGCAGAAAATAAGTGGCCTGTATGCTATCTTCTGACACGGTGGATCAGGACCTGGATTTAGGCAAAATAAAATTATATTTCGTTTCTACCAATTTTGTCTTTTGTTGTTGTTTATACAGAAATACAAATGTAAACTTGAGCAGCAGTTTGCCCAGATCAAGGAAGAAAGTACAGCTCAGCTGCTGACAGTTCAGCGTTGGGAAGATTGGTGGAAACGATCCATCCAGAAGATTAAGCGACTCTATGCTTGAGATCAGTCAAATCTTGCTGATGTCCTTCTGATCATTGTTGGTGTAAGCAGACAAGTTTGTGCTAATGTCAATAATGTTATAGATTAAGTCCAACAGTATTTTCTTTTTTTTTTTTTTTTTAATTTCTGTTGCACTGAACAAGTGCAGTGGTGAAAGGAGCTATTTTTTGCCTCTTGAAATAAAAAAATCTGACGAATGTGCTGTAAATGAAATGTAGACTCTGTGCAGTGCTTCCTAGTTGGATCTCTGCCAGAGTGAAGTTAACTCATTGTGGTGCTAGCTGCAATATGAGCATCTGAAAAGCTAGAAGCCCAAGCAGTGGATTTGTACTGAAGTTCACGTTCAAGGCTCAAGCATGATTGAAGATGTCTGTGTCATGGTGCAGTCTGAAGGCAGAATAGTTAAAGGCAGCCTGTTTAATAATGGAGTCCAGCAAGGAAACTTTTTCTTCGGCATGGATGAAGCCCTTCCTATGGATATCCTCTCTTCCTTCACGTTCTGAGCGACACTGTACTCGCAGCTTGCTGCTTCAGTTTTAGAATCTGAAATACACGTTTAGAAATCTGAAATAGTTAATCTGCGAAGAATATTTTTCACGGAATGGTCTACAAGCGAGGTATTTATCTGCAATCTACAATGCTTTCCGAGGCAGGGCTTGAAGATAAAGTACTGCTTTGTTCTGGGAGGTCAAGCAAGTTCATTTAGGAGTCATATAGCTACTTTCAACCATACTGCTTTTAAAAAAAAACTGAATAAATTCGAGGAACATGAGTAATTATTAAAAATGCTTTAGCCATTTTTTTCTGTTTGTTAGGAGATTCTGTCACTAACTGCAACCACATCTATTTCATTTTTGCTTGCATTCATTGTGAGACCTAGAGTTGTAAATCAGTTCAGGACAAATATGGTAAATGTCAATGAGATGGTTTTAGACGCAAGATGTTCTGAACTCATCTGGCTCCAGTGTTCTTGTAGATTTGCAACAGAGAAATTGAAGCAAAGCGGGGACTGGATCAGCTGTGCTTCTAATGATGCAATATTTCAAAACGTGTATTACTTTTCCTGAGGGATTAGATGCTTACTCTGTAAAGACACATGGAAGTACACTATGCCTATTATAATAGCTGAAACTGCAGTAAAATATCCAGAACACCTGTATCTTTTTTTGTTCTATGTTAATTTTACTGTTCAATATAAGGATAACTTTTATTCTCCTTTCTTCTATCTGTCCATTATCCTCTGTCCTTCCCCATCACCCAAGTTCTGTGCTATGGCGATAAGTGCATGAGGATGGTCAGGTGCAGGAAATGAGAATCCCAGGAGACTATCTGCAAAGTGGTACTGTCTGATGCTTTCATTTGTGCTTTGGGGGAAAATTTTGAGAAGATGTTTATGAAATTGGAAAGTGGTATCAAGCTGGGAGGGGCTGCAAGCACCACAGAAAACAGAATTCAATCAAGACTTGATGTTTTAGAAAAACAAATAGTCCAAAAAAGGAGTATAAATCCATAAAGTCAAGTAGATGGTTTTGTATGTCATAGACCTGGCTAGGAGATGTTCTGTAGAAAAGATGTGTGGGTTACATTTGGCCACAGGCTGAATGTCATCACCGGTGCTGTGTTCTTGCGAAGCAGGCAAGTGTCATATAGGAATGTATGAACTGTCACAGTATTTTGGTTTTGTGGGGTAATCCTGCTTTGCTCAGTACTGGTGAGGGCTGAGCAGAAGTATTTGGTTTGGTTTTGGCACCACACTATGTGAGAATGGGCTCATTACACATCAAACAGAATTGACAGAAATAATTACGGGTCTTGAAGTGAGTAATCTACAAAGAAAGATTGAAGGAGTTGTGGTGGTTGAACACACGGAATAGAAGAGAGACAGAAACATTGTAGACTTCCGATATGTCAAGGGAGTCTCCAGGAGCATGATTGCTGTCAAAAGAGGGACAGACCTAAACTGCAGCAAGTGAGATCTTGGCTGGAAGTTAGAAAGCCTCCTGACAAGAAGGGCTGTAAAGCGCTGGCATGAGTTGCCCACCCACCCTATGTCTAACGAGCTCTCAAAGAATGATTGAAAAGCAACTGCTTGAAACTCCCCCTGCACACTTGTCCATTTTGCATGTGCCAGAAGCATCAAGCACAAGGCCAGATATGTTGCACTGAAAAATTTGGTATCAGATAGCAGCTCTCATTACAGAATTAGCACAGGAATTAGTTGAAACTGGTCAAAGCATAGAATAACAGCTAGAGCGGAAAGGCTGCTTGCAAATTCTTCTACCTTTGTGGACCCGCAGCGTTTTTAGGCAAGAATCCAGAACTGCTCAGCATGAATCCATGAAGGCTTTAAATGGTGGAAGGCCTTGAGATATATATATTTAATTTTTTTTTTTTTAGGTGTCATTTTGTGATGCTTCTTGGTGAAAGCTGATGAGAATGTTTGACAGGAGAGCGACGAAGAAGCACCAGAGAGGATTTCTGGATGGCAGAGTAAAGCAAATTAAAGAACTTTTTGCTACCTGTCTTTTTATAACCAAAGAAATTAAAGTGGGAAAATTGTGACTGACTTTCCAGATCCATTGGCACTGTTGTATGCCTTACCAGGGGCAGGACAGTAAAGATCTCGGTAATGCTTACTTCATCCCCCCCCAAAGAAGCACCCTGTACCAGTTCTTCCCACTACCATCAACGCTACTGAATGTCTATAAATAGGAGCTTGACAGACAGCCCCTTTTTTTTCCCCCAGTCTCCCCTCACATGCTGGAAAGTGCTTTTGTCTAACTTGAGGCTGCATTACAATCCAGCAGCAGCCTGGAAAGCTGGCTTTGCGAGTGAGCACTTTATGTGGAAACAGAGGACGCCGAGGAGGCAGAAGGAAGCTTCCACACACGAAAAACTTCTGTGCAGTACCATAGTGCTGTACTCACTGGAGGTAATAATGAACGTAGCCTACAACAATTAGTGTGCTTGTAACAAGCCCCTTTGGAGGCCACATGCAAAGGCTTTGTATGTTTGTTACGGGGCCCGTGGTTCACGCTGTGGGAACCTTTCCTTCCGTGTGAACAGAAGAGGGATTAATTTGAGCTTTTAAGGTAAGATGGCTGGGACAGGGGAAGCTGATCTTTACGGCTGTTGAAAAGGGAGTGATTTTTTTGACTTACAGAGAAATAGCATTACCCAATATGCATTATTATTATTGTCATGTAATGTTTTTTTGCTTGTATCAGGGGCTCAGTTTACCTTTCTCCTGCATGCACCTTTGGAGGGAGCTGTCTCTGGCAGTTACTCTTCTGTGAAAGATGGAATTTATCAGCTAAAATGGTAACTGTGTTAGCTCTGCGTGTCACCTGATATGATTGGTTTTGATGAGTTTATTAAATTGCAAAGGGTGTGTGCTTTATATGAATAAATGGAATCTACAGAAACTAGAATCAGATCAGAAAGGCTCCCCACGCACTTAGAACTGTGATTAGATCTCGCTGAAATGGGAAGGTTTCTCAAACGGTTTGCAGGAACTGCCTGTGTGACTAAGTGGCCTGGCTCTTACAGCTTGTTTCCTTCCGCATTCCTCATTTCAGAAAGACTGAATTAAAATGAAACTGCTTGGTGGACGTCATGCTTCTATAAAAAAATAATGCATTTCTCTCATAGTGAGATACTTATAGTCAATTTTGCTTGCATTTTTGTTCTTTTCAGATTGAAACTGCTGGGAGTAAGAAGTTGTCCTTCCTTTTACTACTCCAGAAGACGTGATTTCCAGGAAGGTGTTGGGATCTCTTGTCTGTCTGTCTGTTGTTACCGCATTTATCTGGTAAGAATTTGCTGGCAAGATTGGTCATATTTAAAACATCTTGTCTATATCTATACTGTGGTAAAAAGTATAGTAGCAGGAAAATATAGGCAGTGCATTTTATGGAGAGTCCCTGTTAGAGCTGTGAAAAAAACCAGTAATTTGTACAATAGGTAAAGTAACACTAGTAGAGAGAGAAGCCTCCAACAGGAGAGAGAAAAAAAGACCGATTGTGTCTAAATTAGGCTGCTAACACCATATCTGACTCACAAACAAATGTTCAAGTACAGAATATTCCAGTTACATTTCAGTTCAGGCCTTAAAAGAGATTATTATCTGTCTCTTCAACCAGCCCAAACTCATGCTAGCTTACCTAAGGATAGCTTTGTAGCTATCAAACATTGTTGCTTTCAAACACTGAGCAGGTTTGTAACTTTGAGTGTACTGAATACTGAGGATGCCTTACAAATTCTGTTGAGCAAATTCAAACATTGTTTGAAAGGAATCTGAGATAAGGCATTTCTATTACCTATTTAATTATTATTCTTTATTATGCTGTATTTCTGATGTTGCAATTATTTGCTTTTATTTCACATTGTGAGTGGTTGCATTTCACCAGGCGTTAAGTGATTGTATATACAAATCTATATAGATTGTGATCAAAACTGAAGGGAGAAAAAATCCTATGCAGCCTATTTGTCTGCTACGCACATTGAAGGATGCGCACACTTCAGGACAGCATTTAAAGCTCCAGAAAGTGTCAGTATGTCACATCAGTGTATATTGCATATTTATCCATTTTGAGCATTGCCTTATGTCTCCATTTGTGTACGCTTTTCAAAAACGTGTAGACCTACATTTTGTAGACCACTTGCTGTAGATAAAAATACTTAGACCTGATGGTACAAGCTGGATACTTCTGGGCTCATTTTGTCCTGAGCTTCCCATTTATGCCTTAGCAGCAGTATATTACATTAAAAGGTGTATACACTGAATCCTGTACTAATTAGTAAAGTAGACAAGCAGTTAGCTAGAGTTATTTCTCAAAATCTGTGCCCGATTCTGAAAAGATCTTGGAAAATCCTAGGAAGGTATCTTTCAACATTACCTATCTTAAAATGTTTCTTTGGTATCCCAGGATTACAGTTAGGAATGGAAAAGTGCTCTACCTCCCATATTACCTTCCTTGCCCAGAAATCTTGTAAGTGTCCCATGTTGTATGTAAATAATGGCACAGATCATTGTCACAGCAGGTGAACTTCACAGACAGTAGAAGTAGTTGTTAACAAGTAGTCACTTGTTCTTTGTTTTATGAACCTGTAATTAGTCACTCTCTTAAAACAAAACGGTAATAATGCAATCTTTTCTGCTTTAGTCTGCTTGCCCTCCAGGACAACTGGGTGTTTGTACGGCATGACTGAGGCCTTGTTTGTTGTGGGTCACAGAGACCATGACTAACAGGTTAACATTGGCTTTATTATCAGGGTGTAATCACACACATGCACATGCACACACAGGATCTCACTGTGCTTTGAGATGTGGGTTAAGCATCCCAGCTCGCTAGATGGAGAAACGGTAAGTCAGAGAGGTGAAATGAACAATCGCATAAGGACTGCTGGCAGAGTTAGGAATAACCCCCCCAGTCTCATAATCGTGTTCCTCCACTCTACGATCTGCGCTTTCCACTCACTTTATGGATGTATTTGTGTTATGGCAGCACTTGAGTCGTGGACCAGAAGCTTGCTTTGAACAAAATGACAAGGTAGCTGCTTTTCTTGAAACCTTACGGTTTAAGGGGTCAGCTTCTCTGGGTGGCGCAAACCTATATACAGTTAACTGACTTAGTGTGCATCCTAAAAGGTATTTCAAAGCTCATTAAAGAGAGTTTGCACTGTTGAGGAGCAGGGTACACGGCCTGAGTGACTTCACTGCCATGTCAGACCGTAGGTGTAACATGACAAGCCACAGCTTTTCCCATCCTTTGTCATGACCTACTCATCTTGTAAAAACAAAACTAAAAAATGCAAATAGAAAAGATGATCTCTTACAGAGGCATTTCTCATTATTTCAAGCCATTAAAAAACATTGTGTCAAGTAAGAATGCTTGTTTCTCTGAATGCTGTTTAAAGTGTGATATATAGTAGTTCAGCCCTCCAGGTGAACAGAAGGGAGCACATGCATGACCAGTACTGGCAATCCCCAATAAACATGTGCTTCCCTACGTTTGGACCACTAAACTCTGATTTACCCACAGGCTCTGAGAGCTGCCAGCATCTCTCTGTCCCTGTTCTGCTGTGTGCTCTGTTTCAAAACTGTGACTTGCCTGACAGCCCTTGAAGGTGCATGCAGGCAATGTCTGACTCTCTGTACCACGCAGAGCAGTGTGCACAGCAACTGGAGCAAGGACTGGGACAGCTTGTCGGTACAGCAGCAGGCCCTGAAGCTGAACCTGGTTCTGGCTTTAGGAAAAGCATTACAATCCCTTTCTTTTCCCACCCCATCATGCAGATCTGTGAAACTCCAATATACAGAAGAGAAGCTAATCCAAATTTTCCCCCAGTAAGTACTGACTTTTTATTTCCTGACCTTTAAACTGCTATTCCTCTCCTCCAGGTGTATTCATGTATTATTCAGTGGATATTTCTTCCTTTTTACAGATTATTTTATCAGCAGCCAAGATTGCTGGCTCCAAAGTAAGTTTCTTTGTTTGAACTTTGTTTTTTGTTTCTGCTGGCACTGGTTTGGGTGCTCTGTGGCACACACATTTGCAGAGTCCTGGTACACACTGAACAGTACCTTGTTCCAAGACAAGTCTAACCATATGGGTATGTCTACAGCTGCCTATGCTGCTATAAGATCGAGTTTAGTCACTGTGTACTTGCTAACGTACCTACCGTAGACTCCAATTAATACATCAGCACACACACACAGCCTGTCTATATGGCTGCTGCCAGGAACTCTTTCTGAGACAGGAGATATATAATAGCTGGAAGACAATGAGAAATACCTTCTGGAACTGTGTTGTAGCTGTAACCAGCTGTGGAAATGCTTTGAATCCATTTCAGGGCAAAACCAAGCAAGGGCCTTGTATGACCTTCAGCAATGGTTTCCGCTAACCTGCTGGATCTTACACCGGAACAAATTGCAGGCACTCACACAGACAAGTCTCTAAGAGAAGCAGTCAAACCACTGAGTTTAAACAGACGTGGAAGGCTTCAGGCAGCAGCAGCTAAGAAGTGACTTAGGCAAATGCTCCTTGTCAGCTCAAGTTTGTTAGCAGTCTCGTTTGGTCCAGCTCCTGTGACCTGACTCTTATCTCTAGCAGTTCACCTTCAACGGCCACCATTCTTTTGCATGTTAATAAACACACCCTGTTAGTACATATCTTCCCCCCCGCCCCTGCTATTTCAACAGGACGTCCGAGGCCTGAGTATTTCTCTCTTCCATATAGGCATAAATTAACGTGCAAAATCAGCTAGTATGTACTGGACTAGATGAGGAGAGAATCATGTAGCTTTTAGTGCTCTATGTCTTCTGAAGGGACTAGTGCGCACTGAGAGGATGCATACCATGGAAATGAGTCATTGGGAAACCCAGTGCAGCCTTTTAAAATGAAATGAAAAAAAGCCCTGCTCAGAGAAACAAACTTGCAGGTTTCCTTCTCTCCCTCTCTCCCCTACC